ACACAGTAAAAGGGCTTCACAAGAGATGAAGCTAGACTGTTCTCAGTGGTGGCATATGACAGAGCAAGGAGCAATGGTCTCAAGTTGAACCAAGGGAAGCAGTAGGTTAGATATTATGAAAATCTCTCTCAGGAGGAAGGTAGTAAAGCACTAGAAAAAGTTACCCAATGAGGCTGTGGGATCTCCATCCTTGGAGGTTTTTAAGACCTAGCTAGACAAAGCCTTGGCTGGGATGATCTAGTTGGGGATGGTTCTACTTTGAGCAGGAGGTTGGACTAGATGACCTCCTGAGGTCCCTTCCAACCCTAGTTTTCTACGATTCTAATTGAGTTGTGCATCAGTGGCCTCATTGGTGACATGGGAGTGGTGGTGCTTCCCTACCTCAGCATGAGGATTGATTCATCACTGTCCACAAAATGATTTGGAAATGCAGGGTACTGTATGAGCGAAAAGGGCTTAGCAAGGTTTTCACAAATACGTATATGCATCTGTCTTATCTTATGTGTGAGGTTGTAGACCTTTCATACACTAGGACCACGTTGGTTTCTTTAATATTCCACCCTGGAGAGGGTCTTTAACCCAGGCTTTCCTTGCACAAACACAGTCTGTAGATCACCCTGGCTGCTTGGATGCCTAAAAAGGCCCAACTATAAAAAGTGTCTGATACTGTCAGTGAGTGACAAAATATTATACCCTCTTGTGCCAGCCACAGTCCTGACTCCAGTGATCCATGCATTTCTGACCTGCAAGAGGTCTGCTGATAATTAAGATAGAAGCTCACTTGTTCTTAAAAAACATAGCTCCAGCCAGTCCTGAATGCAGTAGCCCTACTCAGAACATTTGTCTTGGTGTTTCTAAATCATGTGCTGGCCTCAGTTCAAAGTCTCTGTCCAGATATTCACAGCTGTGCATATGCCTGCCTATTTGAATGATTGCCCTTTCCTCCATGTGAGCATGTCCTTCCACCAAAGCTACATTTCTTGGAAATGACAAAACTGCCATCCCAAAGAGACTTGTGAACACAGTAAACAGACTATTCTCAGGACCTGGCTGTGATTGTAAAAGAAGAATACCTACTAACTGTGCCCCATTTGGCAAGGTGCTGTAAACATATGAGCCTCTTCGTCCTACACAGCTCATGCATTCACCACTCCAACTGGACAACACAAAATCTGATTGACTTACCTTGCCACATTCAAAAAGATTTAGGAAACATCTTGTCTCCCACCCAACCCTTCAGACGAGCAGTTGTGCTAATGCTCTACTGCTGGTGTGCAAGAAGTATAAAGAATTTATAGTTTCGAGTTTGGAGTGATCATATTATGCATGCACTAGTTAACTAGACCTTCTCCAACATGCACACGTAGATTTTTTGCAAATACCCCATGGCCAACAGACACTTAGTTTATGCCAGTTAATTTTTACTTCTGACTTTGGAAAAGAATCCTCCTTTTCCTTTTTTTCCTTGATCTACATTAATTATGATGGAAGGATTGGGCCAAATTTGTGACTAATGTAAGCTAGACCATTTACACTGAAGTCAAAGGAATGGTCCTGTTTACACTACAAGTGAGCTAGACTGAGCAGCTACTTCCCTCAGTCATTGATCCCTCCCAAATTCAGTGGTTGATATGGAGATTAGTGACTTCCTAAGGTGCAATATAATTTCAGTTTCTAGAATAACTTGACATTATGTAGCAAGGTTTGGGAAACAGATGGGTTATTCATAGCTATATATACACACAAGTAACAACCTCAGTGGAAGCCATCACGTGAGCAAGGGAAGAAACTTGGCCCTGAATCTTTAAACAACCAAGTCTACCCCTGTGAAGAGAGATCGGGGCTTTGTCACAAATCTCAGCAGTTGTATGGGGTTTGACATGTTGGTGTTATTTTTAAATAATAGCTTCCCTTGGGAATTTTCTCTCAGCAGTGCAGGGTTTTACTAGATGGCATTCTGACAGATTTCCAGAAAAACAGCTTTTTAATCGCTGATTGAAACACATTTTTACTACTAAAAATTAAAAAAGAAAAATGATAAATCAGAACCCCTTTATATGGAACGCAGTAACCCTGGCAGAAAGGAGCACCAATTTTTTTTTTTTTTAAGGAAGGGTTTCCGATCTTTTTTACAGCCTCATACTGTCTAGGACACCTGATAAAACTGGAAACAGGAAGAGCATTAAATATAGAGCAATGGTTTGTACAGAAAGGCCCTGGGTTTCTGTTTTATTCATTTTATCAGTTTAAATCCTATGATATGTTCCATGATTGCTACAGCAGCTTCCCATAAACTACACAGTTCCATGTTAGTCCTTGAGCATGAGAATTGCATTGTTCCCATTTTGTTCTTAGTCTGTGCTGTTTAAGTGCTGATGTATTATTCAGATTTGGACTGAATTATATTTTGATTTGACATGAGCTGCATTGCTTGCAGAAATACTGAATAAGCCTATCAGGGAAACAGGTAACGGCTTCTGTAATGAAGCTGGGGCTGAATTAAGGTGACTTGTTGCTAACCAAACAAGAAATAGTTGCCTTTTAACATGACTCATTAAAATGCTAGTGTGCCCCAGTGGGTAATAGCAGCAGCAGTAGAGAAAACCTATGCTTACAAAGGCATTGATATACATAGATGGAGGAAAGTGGCTGAAATGCTGTTGATTTTTCTCCTTGTTTTTCTCTTCAAATTCTCTTTTCTTAAAGAAATGCCTCAGGCTTAGTACTGCTGAGATGGACAAGTCAGAGTTCTTCAGAACGTTAAGCTGTACACGTTCCCTGAGAGAGGACTGATTGCTGCTATCCTTATTTGACAGGAAGGAAGGGAAACTGAAGTGCGGAGCATAAAAGTGACTTAAGCCAAGGTCCACAGCAAAAAATACATCCTAGAAGCCCTCATTTCAGGTTTTGTTCTCCAACCACTGCCCAAGACTGGAGTTCTTCACTGATCCCTCCCATAACTCTGATAGTATATCTGAATCATTAGAAACCTCCATTTGTCCTTATTATATTTTATTAGTTATATGCATTAACAGAGCACCTAGGAGCCCTAGTCATGGACAGAAGTCCGTTGTGCCAGGGAGTGTACAAACAGAGAACAAAGACGAACAGAAAGTCTTGGGGAGCACGCAAGTTTGGTCAGCATGATAAGCAGTGATCTCTGCACCTCTGCAGCAGAATAACTGCTCTCAAGCTTTTGGTAGGCACCATCGCAAAGGAGAGTTTTAAGGAGGGATTTGAAGGAGAATAATGAAGTGGCTTTGTGGAGCAGCTTGGGAGAAACTACCAAGATGCTTGTTTAAAAATGTAACTAGTGGAGGCTGGCATCATGGGAGGCAGATGGGAGGTGGAGTCAGTCTTGGAAAGTGTATTAGTCAAGGTCTTATGTAGTGTTAAAAGAAACGATATATCATCTGGGCCAAAAGAATCCAAATATTAAATATGTGGACTTACTGGGAAGACAGGCATTGTTCAGGTAAAGCAATTCTAACCAATCAAATGATACTATGCATCACTGGTGCTCAACCTATCAGTCCCATGGGCCAGATGAGTGATGCAGGGCTGTTCTGCAGGGAAGACTGCACGCAAGGTCAGTCTGTAACAGATCCAGCTGCAAAGTCCCCCCATGCACTGTTCTAATACCATGCACCAGCTCAATCCCTGTGTCAGATCTGGCCATGGCACAACCTGTGCACTGGCCTGATCCTGTTTGCCAAACCTTGTCATTAAACAACCCTGCATGCCAGATCCAACCACAGAGTGACCCTGCATGCCAGCTCAGTCCTGCCAGCTGGATCCAGCCATATGAAGCAACCCTGCATGCTGATGCAATCCAACCTGCAGGACCAGGTCATGCAGCCTGTACGGCTCCCCCCAGGCCGGAAATTTGGCTCCCAGAGGTATAGCTATTAATGGTGCTCCCCTGTTTCCAAGTGTTTACCTGTGAGGAGCCCTGCATGCTGATGACATGGCTTTGGGAGCTGGATCCAGTCTAGGGGCTGTAGGTTGAGCACCACTGCTCTACATCATTAGATAGTTGCATCTTATTCACCTTTTTGTGTCATTGCAGCCTTGAATAAGGGTACAGGTATTCTGCTCCCCCCCACCACCAAGGAAAGTCTTGCTCCTGTTTTTACACCATAAGCTAAAATGCATGAAGCTAAAAGGCACTCTTATAAATACCTTTACTTCAGTACCTGCAACAAAACCATTCAAGATTCTAGCTTGTTCTCTAGAGCAAAGGTTAGCAGCCCACAGCCTGCGGGCTAGATTTGGCCTGAAGAGCGATTGCAGCCAGGCCGTGAGGCTGGGATATGGGCAGATGGGGGAAATCAGTGGCTACAGCAAAGGGAGTGGCAGCCAGGTCAGAAGCACAGCAGCGGCAATTCAGTAGTGGGAGGGAGCAGCAGCCAGGTCTGAAGTGGCGGCCTGCCTTTGGAACAAGCTAATTCAGTTGCTACTCCAAAAGAGGTTGCAGAGTCCCTTTCTCTACAGCAAAGTTAACATCGCTTTTGGGCAAGCACCTCTTCCTCAGTGAGCTTCAGCTCCAAAAAAAAGATCTTGCCTTAAACTCCAGTTCATCTTTCTGAAGGCCACAAATCAGACCTCGTCATAGCAAAAGCACAGTACAGTGTCATCATTATTCACTTCTGGGTGAAGCAAGGCATTGAATCCAGGCCTAATTGCAAGTGTCACAAATTAATTGTAGCTGAGAGACTAGTTCGCTAGTCCAGGACCTTTTGCATTGGCAGCCTGTCAGAAATGGTGATGGGATGTGGCAAGCCAGGCCTGGAGTGGGAAGAAAACACTCTTCTGAGCCAGTGGAAATTACAAACAGCAGAATCTCTCTCAGTGTCTTGCTGCACAGCTCTAATTTAAGGTTAAGAGGTGGGATTTCCTGCACAGAGCATTTGTTGCTACAGCCAGGATCACACAATCCAACTTAATTTAAGCCCCGACTTCA